GTTACATGAAAGTTTGTCAAAATAAACAGACTTCGAAATTTAAATGAACTAGTTTCTGAAATCATCTGCAAATAGGATAAACTTATCTCGCCAGATTTTTTTTTACCGGATCTTCTAAATAACGTAACTTCTAATTGTAAAATTCCGATTACTTCGTTGTTAAGTATGCAATTTTATTCAGATATCATTTGATTTCAGCCTGTTGACAATTGCGTTTTTTCGATAAGTTGATGATCTAAGTGGTTACCATCCGCTAACATTGTATCATTGTACATCACCTATCATTCAACATTTAAGCAATCCAAAGTTTGATCATTATCGCAATACTAGCATTCATAGATGATGATTTATAAATGTAAATAGCTATCAGTTTACAAAATAGATCAAAATATCTGGTCCTAGAATTATTCAACTGGCTCAAGTCTATGATAACAACCATATGTTCAAAGTTAACTAATGACTCAAACCTTAAATACAACAAACCTCCTGTTAAGTTTGTCTTACATTGTTCCCTTTCTACTCTTTTGTATATTGTCTTATACTACTTATTTACATTCAGTAAGCAGTTGTATACCGAACAACTTTCACACTGATGTTGTAGCTCGAGTTATACTGTGGCATTTTGAAATGTTCACATATATCTTTAACGTTCATTGTACTTATCATTGTATGTATCATTCTAATTACTACAACTTAATCACTGCAGCGGTTATCCACAGTTTTGTGCATTTGTTTAAACGCAACAGTTTCCATATTGTTTGCTCTTGGTTCGGGTTTCGATTGTTCATAAACTGTTATCAAATTTAGACACAGCTATCGGCTGTCTTTGTACTATTGTGTGTTATAATTATTCCTTATGTACTCTTACAGGAAGCCTTTGTTATTTTCATTCTTGAAGGACGCGTTTAAACGCCTAGACACCACAAGTTGAGGTTTGTAACTAAATTTTGTGTATTATTCAATAAAGAACCGCTTTTGTAGACAAATCGTTGTTTTGGAACTTTGATTTTGCGCGTATCTCAATCAGGTCACATGAACGCTTCGATAGACTTAACAGCTCCCCTTCCCCAAAACAGATTTTATATCCACATGGGATCTTGAAATATACCTGGATAACATATATATCGTAAACTATTCACTTGGTGGTCATGCGTAATCGGCCTCAAGCAACTGTTTTTTTCTGTGCTTTGAGGTACACCTTCAGGCTGATATAATCTTCACTAACTAATTATATATATATTCTTCCATAATATAGGCAATCGAAAAACGACGTATTGCTGATGGTTTGTCAAGTTCATCTTACTTATAATTGAGCCTCTTGCACACTATTCATCCTATTTCTTCTATTCCAATTTATACTCGTTTCAACTTATTCTTTTTGTAGATTGTGACTACTCACAATGTAAAGTCATGTTTTTGATAATAAAAGTCAATAAACAATTAATTTTGTACTCGAGTAAAACACCGGACAGGTAAGAGTGGTTAATAGTTCTATTCTCGCTAACTTAGTGGACATGGTCATCAAGTTGAACTGAATAAAGCTTTTAAAGTTAACCACCATATTTCATCGAATTTGCCGTATGGTTTATGAAATCGTCTTTTGCACATTGCTGAAGCCATTAGAATCCATGTTCACAAACCAAACCTTTGCATCTAAAAGAAATTTGTACAAGCACTCTCACCACCTTTGCCATCGGTATACGAGTGAGTTTGTAACAGAACTTTGCCCCAAAATGGCACGGTACGGCCGAGAGTGGGGAGAGTCCGCTCTCCCTCTCGAAATGCTCTCATATAGCCACGCGTATATAGCCTTTGCCAGGTAAGTCCTGCTCGCTGCCTTCTTCATTGGATGTGTAGTTTAGGGAATTGAGAGGACGAAAAAGCGAATATCCGACGCTTTAACCGGGTTGGTGGACATAGAGAGTGAACCTAGTGGAGTTGGGAAACCCTCATTCCAAACTAATGGTGCACATGGGATCCAGTATCCTGAAGGGACAAATGGCGTATGAACCAATTGTTGGTCACCGGCTACCATGGGACTGCATCTCTTTACGATGCTCCACTGCCTTGTGGATCAGACCTTCAGGTTGAAGGCTGCGGCCCCCTAATAAAACCACCTGCTTCGGTTTAGGCACACGGGCAGTATCACAGCCCTCAACATATCGAATGAGATTTGTGTGACGCATATATATCTGGTGCCTCCTTGTACCAATATCTATGTGTTAAAATAAAATAAGACTTTCGTATTTTACTTATTTTCGACATTCGTCTCTTGATTCTCACATTGCTATTATACTACTGACCATTCATCAAAATATTATGTTAGTTCCTTCTTCTCTTTTTTAGATATATTATGCAATGTAGCAACTACTTGATTTTCGAATAATTACTTTGATTATTATTAATCCTCTCTCTTCCCATTACTCAATGTTATGTCATTTAACCTACAATTGTAACGGCAAGATAAAAATGATCTTTGATAGGTTGGATGAAAAACTTTTAACTAAACAATTATAATTAGAGAGAGGTTTTGTGGATATTATAGTAATTTTCATAGGTGAATTCATGAGTCGATTGAAGCTAGGTCACTATGGGAAACTTGGAAGCACCAGATGGCTGTTTCATTCTAGTACGAGACTCCTCAGCAGTGTGCATCTACGACCTCGCCTCACGAGACTCGAACCCAAGACCTATCAGTCTCATGTGCGGACTCATCAGGAATGGGAATCACTGAGCCGTTATCCAACGATTTTAATGTTTAACTTAAACCAATCAACTGACTAATAAATTCAACTACTAAATTACTGTAATATCCACAAGACCACTCTCTGATTACAAACTTTTTTGCTCAAATTTGAAGCATTCTTACAGTATGTGTGTATAAGTGTTACTAGCGAGACTATAATTTATAGACGAACCGATCAACCAATCAGGTTCTAGAATAGTTCTCTCTCTACTCCATCTCGAACTCACGCGTACTAGACTCAAGGTTAAGCCGCTCAGCCTATCGCGTCAAGGTCATAATCTAGACTAGACAGATCAAGGTCAAGTCATAACATAGTATCGAGGGGGTAAAAGCGATTCAAGGTCATAACAGATATACTCAACAACTTTTTCAGTTGGATTATACTCGTTGAATAACATCTTCATACCCTAATGTTTCCGATTACTGCTTATACTTTGACTACCACTACCAGTACGGGATTTGAATGGACAATTGTATCTGTGTGATATTGTGGTATGGCAACTCGAACTGATGTACGTCCGTACAAAGTTCTATGTTGTTACTGACTGATACTCAACAACAACAACAACAGCAACAAAACTGACTGATTTTTTTACATACTTTCCCATTCATTCAATAATCTAATGAGCTCTAAGATAATTGGTGTAAAAAAAACGCAAAAATAAGAAAGAGGCATTTAAATCATTTTATTTTCAAGAATCGTTATTATTATTATTAATAATTATCCCACTTCAAATGCACAGAAGTAAACACACACACACGCACACACATGAACAAAATAAGCAAAAACAAACAAATAAATAAACAAATCAATCGATCAATATATATATTTTTTAATAAAAATAACTAATTAATCAATAAACTGAGACAACAACAAGAAAACCGATTGCAGAAAATTAGGCCGATCAAAGTTAGGGGTGGGGGGGAGAAAGGGATCATCATTGCAATATTGTAATATATAGACATAAATAATAAGTTAATTAAGTCAAAAATTAAGTAAATAAATAATATTAATTGTTTTTCACAAATGACTATAGAAGCTGTTTGACTAATTATTAGGGCGTGAAGTTTATTTGATACTCTCTGTTTGATAATACTCAATGCATGACAACAGCAGCAACAACACCCCCATCATTATTATTACTCTTTTTGTATTCACACAATTGTGTACTGTGTAAACAAATCAAATCTCCCAATTGCTCTCTCTAGTCAATCATACATCAATGAACAAGACAATAAATGTTTTTAAAAAAAACTGTTTGCACTATTAACATACATGTTTTATATAAGATTAACCAACCAATAAGAAATCAGCAAAATGAATAAAAATCATATTTGACCTTGGGAAGTATATCGTGGACAAATTAACAGACAGATATAATTAATGCATACCATCAGCTAACCAATCAAAAAAGAGTATTGAAAAAAATACGCGCCCTTGTCTACTTGACCTTGACACACATTGAGTTAACCAATTAAAAAATAGTGAACACTATTTGTTTATCCCGAAATAGAATATAATAAGATGCATGTTAATTATGTAAATATCACAGTATTATTTGGCGCTAAAAAAAATATGAGGCCAATAGAACAAACAATTTAGTGGTGGTAAAATAAGAAAGTGATATTGCTGTAAAGTTTTAACGTTTAATATAAAACGGGAAAAAAAGTGATAAATGAACAGTGGGAAAACAATCAACAACAACAAAAGAAACACTGAGAAGAAAATAGACAAAGATCTACAAATCATCATCAGGATCATCAAAAAAAATATGTGAAAACAAGCAGTGATAAAACACTGGAAAGGGGAGACTCCAAAATATCACATACACACACATATATATAGATTCATATCATCAACAACGACAGTATTTCTGAAATATAATAGTTTAAGAAAAAAAGTGGAAACAACATAGACCATGGAATATGACACAATCTATACCAGGAAGGAAATAATGATAAAGAGTATCCGTCTATTGTTGATTTTCTTTTTTTACAAAAACATGTTTACACACAATATATTCAGGAAGAATAGACGTGGAAAAACATAAACACAAAAACTCAAAGAAGAAGAGGAAAAATGGGGGAGTAAAACTGAGAAAATGGGATGAGTTACTTCATCCTTATTTTTTTCTATTATTATTTGTTTCAGAGAGAGAGAGGGAGGGAGAAGGGGAAACAAAAAATTGAGAATAAACGGACATTTTATCCCAACAAAAAAATTATTAAACATAATCAGAATAATGATGATCAGTGACAAATAGATTGTTCTTATTCAATTGGATAATACAATGATAGGAGGTAATGTAAGAAACCAATAAATATAATCTGATATAAGTTTATAGATCAAATGAGAAAAGAAAACAAGAGAAAGAGAGAATAAAGACATATATCAGTAGAAAGAGAGAGAGGGGGGAGAAAAGAGCGGTTGAATAGTACATGAAAATCATATTCTTATCATTTAATCAGCTTTTCTCACTTTTGAACGCTTCGTAGTAACTTTATTACTATCATTATTATTACTATTACGACTACTAATACTACAAGTCCCACCGACAAGATCATCAGTTAACTGTTCCTGTTGATTACTAGTTTGACTATTACTATTATTATTATTATTATTACTTAAGGCCAATTTTAGTAATTTATTCGCTTGTGGATGTCTTCCACTTTCAAGGAGTTCTACTTCCATTGTTACAGAAATTGGATCACCATTATCTGCTTTAATTAATGGTGGAAAATGTGATAACAGATCAGGTGGTGATATTGATGCTTGAGGTAATAATGACTTTTCAGAAACAGTAGTAGTAGTAGTAGTAGTAGTACTAGTAGTAGTTATTAATGATGAATGCATTTCTAATTCATCAGATTCAACAGCTGACGACACTGATGATGATGCATTTGAAAGTTCAATTAATTCAAAACCACTTTCATCATCGTCATTTTGTTTATCTAAATTTCGTTTCATTGATGAATTGATAGGAGTAGTAGTAGTAGTTGTTGTAGTAGTACCTGATAATATTGGATTATTATCATCAAATTGATTTTCATTACATAATATACTATAAGATTCTATATTGTCATTATTAATAATAATTTCATCAGTAGATTTTTTACGTGGAATATTACGACGTTTACGTTTTGATGTATTAGCAGAATTAGAATGAAGAACACCAAGAGATGCATCATTACTACTACTACTACTACTAGTAGTAGTAGCAGTAGTATTAGTAGTAGTGCTAGAAACAGACTGATCCATTAATGAATGTTTCTTCAATGAAGAATTGACATTTTCCTAAAAAAATAAATTTAGAAACATGAAAAATATATCACCAGGAGTTTTGTGGAGATTGTAGTAATTTAAACAGTTGAGATCATGAGTCAGTTGAAACTGGACAACCATGGAAAACCTGGAAGCACTGAACGGCCGTTTCGTTCTGTTGTGGGACTCCTCAGCAGTGCACATCCACGACCCCGCCTCGCGGGATTCGAACCCAGGACCTATCAGTCTCGCGCCAGGCGGTTAAACAGTTAGACCACTGAGCCGGCATCCAACGGTGTTAATGTCCAACTTCAACTAATCCATGAAATTGAGCGACACATCCACCATTGTCATCAGTGAGTTACTATAGCACAACTGACCCGGTTGAACTCCACTGGTCACTGCTTCTCATCAGAACTCCAGGATATATATCTTGAAGCTAGTCTCGCGGGATTCGAACCCAGGACCTATCAATCTCGCGCCGGGCGCTTAACCAATTAGACCAGTGCTTACAGGTTTTCAATGGTGGACTAGTTCCAACTGACTCATGATCTCAACTGTTTAAATTACTACAATCTCCACAAAAACCCATTCTGTTATTAATCAACATATGCTCACTAGTGACTGGCTTCAAAAAAATATATCATTAATTTAACAACAAATGTCTTACTTGGTTTGTTATATTTCTCTTCTATCATGGAATTCTTAAACTATCCTCTTCACTCATACATTTGCACTCACTTGATTCTCTTAAATTATGTGAGCTCTTCAAATTCGACTCAAGTATTACGTAACCCATCTATCTTATCAGTATTTCAATTCCATGAATCTTATGTAAATCCTTTATTACCTCTAAAATTATAACATAACTTATTTTATTTGTCTCTGAACTTCCGTAAGTATTGTCATTTCATTCTGTTTGTGTGTGGGCTGTGATATTGCTCGGGTTCCCAGAACGAACCACGTGGTTTTCTTAGGGGGCACGCCCCGAGCCTCCGACCTGAAGATCTGATGCGCAAGGCAGTGGAGCATCGTAAGGAGATGCAGTCTCATGGAAGCCGGTGACCAACGATTGGTTCATACGCCATTTGTTCCCGCAGGATACTGGAGCCCATGCGCACCATTGGTTTGGTTTGGGATCCGGTTAAAGCGTCGGACATTCTCTTTTCGTGCTCTCATTTTGGTAAACAACATCCCCGTCATGAGAAGGCAGTGAGTAGGACTTCCCTGGCAGAGGCTGTATACGCGTGGCCGTGTGAGAGTATATATATATATATATATATATATATATATAGAGAGAGAGAGAGAGAGAGAGAGTTATTGTTGATAACGCTTGCCATCCCAATTTCTTTACATTCACTTATATGAATTGTTTCACACTATTTGGTTGTAAGCAGCTGATGATGTTTGTTCTGACTTCATTTAAATTCATAAAAGGAACTAACTGCATGAATTGGTAACACTGAGAAACTACATATATGTATATATATAATACTAATTTATGTAAAAATAAACAAAAGATTTCGATTATTTATTTACTCTGAAGAAGTGTTCTACAACAAGTCACGAAACACCAAAAATACAATTTTTCTACTTCTTGGGATATAACAAAAATATATATATTGATTATTAACTATCTATCCAATGCTTAATTTATTTGAAACTATCAAATTTAACCTTCGTGTTGCTATGTTTGAAGAGATTACGAGTTCACTTAATCTGAGAATGGAAAGCAAACTGTGCGACGCATCTCAGTCCCACGAAATAGAAATAGAATTTCAAGTTTGAAAGAGGGAAATCTATTCCACAAACAGTCAGAAACACGAACAACAACAATAAGTACAACGCAAGTATATATATACAGCATAAAAATATCATTGGGAAACGGTACAAAAAGCATACGAAAAGAAATAACGAACCAATAGTATTTAAATTCCTCCCAAGTGTGAAATACGATGTGAAGGTGAAAATGGGTGTTTTTTGGTGTGTAAACAAGAAATTCAACTTTTCAAAATAGAATTACAAAACTAAGGCATTTACCAAGTGAGTTCTAGAGATCTAACATCCCCAACAGGTATTGATACTTAGAAAGATTTCTTCGATGTATTTATGAATGTAATATTAAACCCAACGACAGAAATCAACGAAAAACATAAGATTCTCAAACAGTTGTTTCAACAACAAAGTGTCAATGAAATCTTTAGAGGATTGATCTTATCCGTACAAACCGTACCCACGTCAACTAGCGCGCCTCAATTAACTCATTCACTAGGTACAAATTCATGTGATTGGTTTCGAATTTATACTCTAAGTATGATGATTAGTGATGAAGTTCCATACTTCATACATATTGTTGATTTCATTTCCTTATTTACGCAAAGAGATAGTAAAATATAAAAAAAACCAAGCCAATAAGCATTCATGGAGAAACCTACTAGCATCATCATTTACACTATGTCTTTTAACATGATGAAGGAGATGATCACAGGCAACCACGATATAGTCAACCACTGTCTACCTTGATGAGTGATATTTGCTGATGTAGAAATAAAGAAAGCTAGGGGCGACCAAACCAAGAAATAGTATTAGTCCATCAAGTGAATGACTGCTGGATTATGGTATGTTGATGGGTGTAAAGATCAATTGTCTTTCATTCGATTTTGAGTTCTAAAATTAGTTTATTCCACTTATGCATTCTTCATCATATCGTCTATGTGTAGTTTTTTTCCACTAACATTGATAGTGATATTATTTACACTATGCTAGGATTTGTCTTGATATGTGCAAAGTTTTACTTTACATATGATTGACTTTCACTTCGCTAGCATAGTAGTAGAGTGGAAGAAGAAGACTAGGAGTGACCAAACCAAGACATATTCTCGGTTCATCACGTGATTAACTTTTTATCTGGACTATGTTGATATAAGTGTAGACTATCTAATCAAGCTTGGAGTAATGATCGTAATAAAAGGTTAAAGAGCCTATAGCTTAAAATTGGTTGTAGTGAAACAGATTCATTCACTCTTTGTCTACCTCTAGATTAAGAGTTTCAAGATTAGTTTTATACTGTTTTCTTATACTACAGATTACTATTTTTTTTCTTTTAAAACCCCAAACGCTTCATGCTTAGTCTCCTCCATTGTCAACTTTTTTCATGGTGCATAAACTTGAAGCAATTGGCCCAGATCCTATATTAATAATGCTAGTTAATTGGTTAACCGATAGTCAAACAGATTTGTACATTGTCATAGTAACTGAATCTATATCGTGCTGTGCTAAGTTTTGAAATTAAAGAAAAAAAGTCACATAGAAATTAGTGTATTAACTGACTAGCTACTACGGAGAATGACACTTCTTCATAAACACAAACATATACAGAAGGTTGACAACCTTATTTAAATTATATCACATGGAAATAGTAAACCCTATGTAGGTTAGTAGGAGCACGTGTTTCATGGATAAGGATAGTACAAAATGAATCAATATATTATAAATAGTACTATTAAGCAGATTAAGAGTATGAAGTTACCCGATTCAATTTGTTTGTTTTTACTATTGGTATCAATTGATAATTCGAAGAAAAGAAAAAAGCACTCCCTATCGAAAGTGTAACATTAAAGTCAATAATGAGTAGGTAGGTGAGTGAGGTAAGTCTTAAACAAAATGAGACATCATCAATTCTCTACAGTTTCACAGAAACTCCTTGCTAACAAATGTCTACAAGAAAGAAATTTAAGTTAAACAAGGTTTATGCTGTCGATTAACTAGGGACACTATTGATTAATATTCAAACACATAGAAGTACATCTTAATACCAGAGTCATTTAGACAAAAGTGTTGTCATGTGAGAAACTAAATCGATAGAATTCTATTAATACGAAATGAAATTCACACACAAAAAAAGACATAACACATTGGTTACTACTTCCTAACACAGTTAATGACTTTATGCTTTGATATTTATTTAAATATTGATACAAAGGGGCACCGAATACATATGCGCCACACAAGTCACTTGATTTCTGTGTGCGTTATGATACTGCCCGAGTGCCTAGAATGAACCACGTGGTTTTTTTAGGAGGCCACACTCGGAACCTCCGACCTAAAGGTCTGATCAATAAGACAGTGAAGTAACGTTAGGGGATGCAGCCACATGGTAGCTGGTGACCGACAATAGGTTCATACTCCATTTGTTCACTCAGGAAACTGGAGCCCATGTGCACCACTGGTTTGGAACCAGGGTTTTCCAACTCCCCTTGGTCGACTCTTCGTATCCATCAACCCGGTTAAGGAGCCGGACAATTTCTTTTCATCCTCTCAATTTAGTAAACAACATCCCCACTGCGAGGACACAATGAGTAGGACTTCCTTGACAGTGGCTGTATACACGTGGCCATGTGAAGGCATTTAGAGAGGGAGAGCTGACTCTCATTCTCTTCGGTCGTTCTAGGGTACTTGGGGATGACAGTGAATTTAATAAATATAGAATTCGTCTCAGATTTTATTTCATGTAATGTAAACAACTTACTATCATTGAAGATGTATTTTTGCAACATTCCACTACAGATTGATGACTAGAATCAGGTTCCAAATTTTTATTATTTTAAAATTAATAATATCTTGATTAGTTATTAAATAATGTTGATCACTGCTACCAATGTCATGTGTAGAGTTGGACTTATTTTGACTGTTTTCTTCTGCGACTATTAAGGATGATAACTCAATTGGTTGCTGTTGTAGAACGTGTCTTTCTAATTTGGTGTCATCAACATGAACATTATCATTATTATCTGTACTCGTCAATTGTTTAATGTCTTTGTTATTATTATTGCGTCGACGACGTCTAACTGTTTTCATATTTGCACATAACCACTCACCATCATCATTCCCGGTAGTATCTAATGCTTGTGGCATAACAAATGTATCAGGAACAGGAGTAGATATATGTGAGTTATTCAGTGGTTCAGGAACAGTAGATGAAGACGTCAATGATGATAACGATTCAACTACTGCTTTACACGACTCCTGATGTATAGGATTTGATTTCTTTGTTTTCAATGATTTAGCAATGGTACTGCTACCACTACTATTGGATGTCTTCACTACTTCATGAATCGTAGAAGTGATAGCGTCTGTGTCTTTCGAAACAATGCTCTTATTCGTCATCATCAGTTCATTAGCAACTGGTTTTTGTTTAACCGAACGTAAATTAGTATCTGAAAAAAAATGAGATAATGCAATATTTTCAAAGCATATATACCAACATGCATCACTGAACATTACATAAACCAAAAATAATCATATTGTTAATAGTAAGGTCAACAATTATAGCATTATTGATATTTAATCCTGAATTCCTTGACTAGACTTTATAGGTATATGTACATTTTGTACAGATTGTCACTAAATGAATTGTCCTGTATGGGTTTTGTGGATATTATAGTAATTTCAATGGTTAAGATCATGAGTCAATTGAAGCTAGACCACCATGGAAAACCTGGAAGCACTGGACGGCCGTTCCGTCCTATTGTGGGACTCCTCAGCAGTGCGCATCCACGACCTGGCCCCTTTCGAGATTCGAACCTAGGACCTACTGGTTTCGCGCGCCAGCACCCAACCACTAGACCACTGAGTCGGCATCCAACGGTGTTAGAAAATTAAGCCACTAATTATGTATGCCTCATACCTAGGATATATAAGTCATTTTGAGGCCAATCGTGTACACTTAACATATGGTTGATTTCTGATTGGTTGAACGTGTTAAAATCAACAATTATCTATGCATTATTTGTTTGTAGTATCCATGAATAATTCTAACAAAATAAAAATAAATGATCAGTATGGGGGATTTTAGTATTTTAATAGTTGAATTCATGAGTCAATGCAAACTAGACTACCATTAAAATCCTAGAAGCATTGAATGACCGTTATGTTCTAGTATGGGACTCTTCAGCAGTGCGCGTTCTTGAGCAAGACCAAAGGCCATGGGTTAGAGTCATACGTGAAGAGTTCCATACTAGGACAAGACGACTGTTCAGTGCTTTCAGGTTCTCAATAGTCATCTAGCTTAGATTTTGACACCTGAACTAATGATAGGGAGTGAAGTAATTGAGCGTGTCGATCGCTTCACTTATCTTGAAAGTTTCGTCAGCCCTTGTGGTCTGGTGTGTGACGAAATCTCAGCACGGATACAGAATGCTCGACTAGATTTTGCCAACTTGCGCCATTTATGGCGTAGGCGAGGTATCCGTCTATCAACCAAAGGACGTGTTTACTGCACAGTAGTTCGTTCCGTCCTACTTTATGGCAGTGAAACATGGCCGATAAGAGTAAAGGATATTCGTAGGTTACTAGTACTCGTGTATAGGTGTCTTCGAAGCATTGCTCATATATCCTAGGACCACCGAGCAAGTAATGCAGTTGTTAGGAAACGGGTACTAGGTAAGGATGGTAAATCAATTGACGAAGTAGTGAAACTTCATTAGTTGAGATGGCTGGGACATGTGTTACGTATGCCCAACCACCGACTGGTGGTGTAGGAATGGGTTGGAAGAAAGGTAGGAGCGGCCAGACCAAAACATGACACAAATCCATGAAGTCACTCACCGACAAGTGGGCTGAACTATGTTGGTAGGTGTAGACTACCTGGTTGGGATCCTCGAGGTGATGGCAACCGATAGTTAGAGACCTTGAATGCCATGGCTCAGAGGTGCATCCACTCTTTGTGTTCTCCTAAATTTTAATCTTCTGAATTCTTCATGTCCCTTTCTTTTTGTCTCTTTCCAAATTTATTTCACTGGATTACACTCGTTGAATAACATCTTCAAACCCTAATTTTTCTGATTACAGCTTATAATTTTACTACATCTAGCACTACAGGATTTGAATCGGCAACTGCATCTTTGTGCTAATGTGGTGTGGCAACTCGAACTGATGTACGTACGTACGAAGTTCTACGTTGTTACTGACTGACTGACTCTAGCTTAGATCGACTCGTGAACTTAACTGTTAAAAAAATGTATTTTTTATTGTAAATTTGCATAACTCCCTTTTATGGAAAGTTAACCATTCCGTACGCATGGTTATTTCACATAGATAGAGGGGGAGAATTGAGGAGAAAACATAACGTTAGGTGGTTGAAGATCTTAAACAAGAAAACCCACTAGACCTACTCTACATGGTAGTTAGTACTCATTAGCAAGATGTACTTGCAATCTCCAAAAAGAACATTAGTTCCTTATCAATATTTAAACTTATGCCATGGTGTGAGACACAACCATTTAAGTAATGAATAGGGTAACGGTTGGTCTTTCATAGAAATGAGATATTCTTTTAGTACTCTGTTGTACCAGAACTTGATACTTTAAACAAATAAGCAAACTATGTTAACCAGAACTTATAAACTGAACAGAAAATATGCAAAACTTAAACAATAAAAACTCAATTTCACATAACTGAATAAAGAATACCTATATATTTACCATGAACACATTCATTTTGGTCATCTTTTAAAACTTCATCTAATTTCTGACAACATTCAATAGAATTAAAGGAGTTTACAGATGAAGAAAAGGAAGAGGATTTATCTGATAATTTTGTTGAAGATGATGAAGGTGATAATGATTTTGCAGTTGATGATAGTGTTGTTGTTATCTTACGAATGGAACGTTTACGTAGAGTAGGATTTTTCTTCGAATGAATTAATTGCACTCCATTTGTTGATTGTGAAATTATATTCTCGGACTAATATTTTTAAAAAAAAGAAAAGGAATGAATTATTTAGATAAACTAATACATTATATCAGAAGGGGTTTTTCTGGATATTCTAGTAATTTCGATAGATGAGATCATGAGCTTATTGAAACTAGATCACCATGGAAAACCTGGACGGCCATTGCGTCCTATTCTGGTTGAAGTTAGACATTAACATCTTTGGATGCCGGTTCAGTGGTTTAGAAGTTATGTGCTCGCGCACAAGACTAATAGGTCCTGGGTTTGAATTTCGAGAGGCGGGATCGTGGGTGCACACTGTTGAGGAATCCCACAATAGGAAGAAACGGCCATCCAGTGCTTCTAGTTTTTCTCTGATGGTCTAGCTTCAATTGACTCATGATCTCAATTATTGATAATACATTATACATGTGAGATAACTGGTAAGTGCATGTAATTGGCCAAGAATTAACTTTGTTTTCCGAGGGATGAGACACAAACTACCAATATATATACGCTGTACATTTTGAGGTGTCAAGCTATACATCGTCTGTTTCAGAAGAGTTTTGATTGTGAACAGGGTGATACCGAATGGAGTTAAGTGTTTGTGCGCGGTTGTCGCTGTCCATTTAACCACACGGTCGAACAATACTTATAATTGAGGGACTTGAAAATGAAACTGGGTTAAAGGTGATCTTAATAGTGGAGACCAGGAGAAAACTAAATGAAACCAGTCACACAGCTGCTTGTAATTTGTTCTGTACATTTTAGACCATATTGTTGACAATAGAAATCTGTGAGGTAAGGTGTGTTACTTTCAGGACTGACCTTTCATAATTCCCTTCTCCTGTTATGCGAAGGCAACATCGTTGTATATCCTGGTTGTTTGAGGTAAACACCTTACTGCTGTCACAACCCAACACAGTCTGTGGTCTTACAGCTCTCCAATTAACCTGCCTGACGAAACGGTGTAGTCTACAGTAACGAGCGGATTATCATAGTAGGCAAATTCGAGTAAAATTAAAACGAATGACAAGATGGGTTCGAACCAATGGTAATACCAATGATACTAGACAAGAGTAAACATTCCCACTGGGGTAGCGAATGTACACTGCTGTGAGTACCATATGAAGATGAAAAACTTGTCTAATTATTCCTGGCTTTCATTGGTTGTTTAACTGAAACTAATCCCTTATGCAAACTACGAATAACCTATTTCTAAGTAAAGGGATTAATTTACGTAATAAAAGTGTACAGTTACTTTGAAAATTCAAGATTAAGGAAAAGAGTAAGAATAATGAGTGTAACTGTTTTTAAGCCAAGTCAAAAAAATTTGTTGTTAACTAGGAAGTTAGGATTCAACTAAACGATAGAGACAAACGGCCAATGATTTGATGGAATGATGATGTTATGTTCACCCCATCGGCCAACCACCTAGGAATACTTGATTTTTAATTTAACCCTTAGACTTTGTATAATTACAACTCCATGCGAACGTAAAACAAAAACGTTGATGTGGTTGTGAAACTTCATGTATGGGACACCATTGTTTATTTCTACAGGCTGATGTAGAAAATTTAACGCAGTAACTATTATCCCTATCGAATGAATCTATGGTAGATGCTAACTTGTAGACATTTTAATTAATACTTCATGTGAAAATTGTAATTCATGGTTGGGTGGTAATAAACAATAATTTTAACATAAATTAAAACATGATCTAATCACTTTGATCAGTTATCTAGAGAAATCCAAAAGGGTTGTGTTTCACTTCAATATTTCATTAAGTGATCTAGTTGTGTTATTATACGATTATCAAACAAACATCGAGATGGTTTCATGGAAATATTTGCAAACGCAGTCTATTAATAAACTAAGACGTTTTTACTTAACACATTTTTTGAAAAATTAAATAGTGACGTTGTGAAAACATTGACAAGAACATGGTACGTTGGAAAAAATGAACAAATCTCATGTGATCAATATTTCAAGAGTAAACGTACACCATTTCTGGGACATGTGTTACGCATGTTCAACCACCAAATGACCCGACGTGCAATGTTTCATGATGTAGGAGTAGGTTGGAAGAAAGGTAGGAGCGGCCAGACCAAAACATGACACAAATCCATGAAGTCACTCACTGACAAGTGGGCTGAACCGTGTTAGTAGGTGTAGACTACCTGGTTGGGATCCGCGAGGTGATAGCAACCGATGGTTAGAGACCTTGAATTACATGGTTCAAAATCATTTGCAATAGTGCATGTGCATCCACTCTTTGTGTTCTCATAAATTATAATCTTCTGAATTCATCATATCCCCTTATTTTGTCTCTTTCCAAATTTATTTCACTGGATTATACTCGTTGAATAACATCTTCATACCCTAATGTTTCCGGTTACTGCTTATACTTTGACTACATCTACCAGTACGGGATTGGAATGGACAATTGTATCTGTGTGCTAGTTTGGTTTGGCAACTCGAACTGATGTATGTACGTACGAAGTTCTACATTGTTGTCTGACTGACACCATTTCTGTAGATTAGAATTGATTTTTATATCGAATTACAAGTTCGATGTCATGTGGTTATGGCTGATCATATTTTGAATAACAAAATGCAAGATATATTAATTCTGTCTTGTGAACTACTGAATTCGAGTTCAAAATATTCTTTACAACGGACAAGACAACTTAACGTCTGATCTATGTGCACAGAAACAGTTTGTGTGGTAACTTTCATAATTATTTGCCGCTCTTTGATATCATTGCTTTTTTTTACGTTTTTAATTCAGTTACAAGAGTACTTTTGTTCTTAGCAATTTATTGGATCCTCTTGAGCAACAAAGCAAATGTACTTGGGGTGTGCTTCTCCACTCGTTGCATGAAGAATGTTACTTCAAGACTGGTCTGCGTAGAAGTTTAAAATAATGATAGGAAATAAAGTAAATGAGAGCGTTGATCACTACGCTCATCACAGAAATCTTATCAAGCTCCTGGTAGGTAGGTATCTGACGAGATCTAGACATAGATTTAGAAAGCTCGGTTGGCTTTTACTAATTTACATCACTTGTGGCATAAATATTTTCCGTCTGTCAACCCAAGGACGACTTTACGATGTAGCAATATGCACTGCATTACTCTATAAGTGTGGAACTTTAAAAATAAAGAATATTTGTAAGTTACCAGAATTCGATCACAGATCTTTTGAAAGCATTGCTCGCATATACTGGAACTATTGAGTGAGCAGCATTGAAGTTAGAAACAAGATACAAATTGGTTAATGAAGTAGCGAATCTTCTTCGAATGAGGTAGTTGAGACGTGTGTTACATACCCTAAGCCGTTAATTACCTCAACGTGCAATGAAGGCTGGAATAGGAGTAGCTTCGACGAAAGATAACAACGATCAAAACAAAGGACTAGTCTATGTAACCTTCACTGTTGGTTTTAACAATTCTGACAAATACAGACTATTGTGATTGATGATCTCGTGATAATAACAATCAGCGGTTGAAAAAGTTAAGTGACATGGCTCAAAATTAGTAACAGTAGCATGGATTCACTTATTCCTTATCTACTCCTTAGATCTTGAGCTTTGAAATTATTTTACACTTCTTGTTCCATGAATTCATCCATTCTTTTCTAATCATATTGTCCATACCTGATGTTTTCTACTAATCCTACAACACTGTTATTTGTCTTGACAATTTTATCTTGATGCAATGATTTGGCATAGAATTTGGTGCATGTATAAGGTTCTACATTACTTACTTACTTACACCTGTTACTCCTAATGGAGCATAGGCCGCCGACCAGCATTCTCTAACCCACTCTATCCGAGGCCTTCTTTTCTACTTCCATCCAGTCCTTGTTCTTTTTTCTCATGTCTATTTCCATTTCCCGGCGTAGTGTGTTTTTTGGTCTTCCTCTTTTCCTTTGACCTTCAGGATTCCATGTGAGGGCTTGTCTTGTGACGCAATTGGATGCTTTCCTCAATGTGTGTCATATCCACTTCCAGCGCTTCTTCCTGATTTCTTCCTCCACTGGGATCTGGTTTGTTCTTCCCCACAGTTGGTTGTTGCTAATAGTGTCCGGCCAACGGATCTGAAGTATTTTGAGTAGATAACTGTTAATAAACACCTGTATATCCTGGATGATGGCTTTCGTAGTTCTCCAGGTTTCTGCCCCATACAGTAGAACTGTCTTGACATTTGTATTGAAAATCCTGACCTTGGTGTTGGTTGACAGTTGAAGGTTCTACATTGCTTATGACTAAATGAATTCACTAAAATTCGAACAACTTATACCAATCTATTTACCATTTCCACGTATTCTTCTTCTTCTACTTATTATTATTATTATTATGCATAACCCTTAATCAAGTCATGTTCTTATTTGCAATAACTATCATCGATCTAATAAAATAATCACATCATTATTATGTACAATGACATTGTATCCTTGACCTTTAATGTTCTGCATAATTTTCATTTTGATGATTCATAAAAATACTTCAATAATGTTGATTATTATAGTTCTACACAATTATATGTGAATATATGCATAGTTAATGAGCATACATAAGTCTAGAATGAGATACTACATAAAAATTGATTTGAACATATGTTAAGGATAAGTTACTGTTTTAAACTGATTCTACTTATCAGTTTACTTGCTATCAGTCAGTAACAACGTAGAACTTCGTACGTACATACATCAGTTCGAGTTGCCATACCACATCATCACACAGATACAATTGTCCATTCAAATCCCGTAGTGGTAGATGTAGTCAAAGTATAAGCAGTAATCGGAAACATTAGGGTATGGAGATGTTATTCAAGGAGAGTAATCTAGTGAAATAAATTTAGAAAGAGACAAAAATGACGAGAAGAGTTCAGTCGACCAGATATTTATACTATGTCAGGTCCTAGAACATAGACACACATTCAGACGCCCCACAATCGTAGTATTTCTCGACAAGCAAATTACATCTGTTACAAACAATGTACAATCTTCTAACACATGGCTATGCATTA